GAGTCATTACAGATCTAAATCAGGGACACCCCCTAGAATTGAGGGTTTAGCTACTCATATTGTTTAAAGAAAATACAATATAAAAAGTAGACATTACAAGAGTTTAGATAAACTCAGATCGTCAATTGCTTCCGCTCATGAAAATCCTTCGCCCTCCGAAAACCTTGTGCTCTCCAAACTTTGATAGTAAAATTATTTTTCAGTCAAAAGTCCCTTTTTTCATCCTCTAAAATCATCTAAATAGAAAAAAGTCAAATAGCAATAGGTGGAAATGCCAAAAATACCCTATAGGCCACTAACAGTTGAAATCAGCAAAAACGGAAAAAATCAGCGTCAAGGCCAACATGGCCCGTGTCAGCTGACACGGGTGGTCGTGTCACCCTTCTGGTTTCTTCAAATTCCAATTTTTCTCTCCAGGTCTGCTGACATGGCTCGTGCCAGGTGACACGGGTGCCCGTGTCAGCTCACTGTCTATCTTCAATTTCTTCTTCAATTCTCATCATTTCCGTGTATGCTGACACAGCCCGTGTCGGGTGACACAATTTTCCATGTTGGCCCCCTGTATGATGGGAAAAACTCCGACCAAAACTCCGAAAATTTCCTCTTTCTCGCACCGAGTTCTTCCAGAATGCTTATCTGAACCTAAAAACTTTAAAGAGACATAACCAAAGCATAAAATACGGAAAGGGAGAGATAAAGCGACTAAACATATAACAATATTAACTAAAATTAGCGGTAAAAGAAAGCATAAAAACCACCGATCAATGTGGTGAAAATAGTAAAGAATAAATTGAAGAGTATGTTGACTCTGATTATGCAGGTTGTATGGATACATAAAATCTATTTCTGGATATGTGTTCACTATGTTTGGCACAACAGTTATTTGGAAAGCAACACTTCACAAGGTTGTTGCATTATCAACCACTGAAGCAGAATATATCTCTCTCACTAAAGTTGTGAAAGAAGCATTATGCCTTGAAGGTTTTGCTATGGAGCTTAAACTTAAGGGTCGAGTTATCACTATTAAATGTGATAGTCAAAGTGATATACACCTGTCGAAGAATTCAACCTATTATGAGCTAACCAAGCACATCGATGTGAAGCTGCATTTCGTCAAAAGGGTAATCGAGCATGGAGAAGTCCAAGTGTTGAAGGTTTCGACATATCAACTTCTTGGTTCGAAAATTCGACATGATCTTAGTATGTTGTCAAACTTTGTTCACATGGTATAGTTGAAGTATGCTAGGAATGTTAGCATGTCAAATTTGGCATGTTTATTATGCCTAATTGTTTAAGTTACCTTGTTCTCTAAGTTAGCTTATGTAATGAGACATTGTGTAAAAGCCCATTAGGTTAGTGTGTTAGCATTCTTTTAAATAGTATGCTAGTCTCTCATCTTTGATATAAGGCAAATCCTATTTACGGCGAGAGATATTATTTTCTATTTTGTAATACATGTAATCTTGTTTCGAAGAGAAAGTAAAGAATAACAGTCTATAACCAATTTCATTGTGTTCTTCTTCCTTCAGTCTTTTCTACCCTTGTGGGTTTTTGCTAACCAACAAACAAATTATACTTTGTTATTCCAACATCGTTTTTCATAATAGGTGTGATAGTTATATTAAGACTGTCTTCTCCCATGTATTGCACCAGTTCACACGACACTTTAGTCTAACTACCTCTCTCTCTCTCTCTATCTCTCTCTCTCTCTCTCTCTATATATATATATCTATATATATATATATATATATATATATATATATATATATATATATATATATATATATATATATATATATATATATATATATTATATATATATATATATATATATATATATATATATATATATATATATAATTATATATATATATATATATATATATATATATATGAGTGGGGATCAGCTTACTTCAAGAGTAAGTTTTTTTAAACTTAATTCAAATCATAGTCGTCAAATTAAATCTTATCTAATGGTAATTAGCATTTTTACTTAATTAACCATTAGATTAGATTAAATTTGATGGCTATGATTTAGAGTAAGCTAAAAAATCTTACTCTTTGAGTAAGTTGATCCTCTCTCTCTCTCTCTCTCTCTCTCTCTCTCTCTCTCTCTCTCTCTCTCTCTCTCTCTCTCTCTCTCTCTCTCTCTCTCTCTCTCTCTCTCTCTCTCTCTCTATATATATATATATATATATATATATATATATATATATATAATATATATATATATATATATATATATATATATATATATATATATATATATATATATATATATATATATATATATATATATATATATATATATATATATATATATATATATATATATATATATATATATATATATATCAGGGTCGTCTCAAACAATTTAGAGACCCTATTCTAATATTAAAAATGGGTCCTTCAAATAAATATTATCATTAACATTCTGTCTACTGAAAAAGAGTCATCCTGCGAACACTTTTTGATACAAATTCATCAACCAAGTCTTCATATTGTATCGTCTCTAAGATATCATTCTCAATTGCTATCAGTGTTAAGCCATTAAGCTTTCTTGTAATATGGTAGATCACAAATATGACTGCAACAACTTTAATTTTGAAAAACTTTCGGCAAAAGCAACTGTTACAAGAATAGTCAATAAAATTCGATATACAATAATTATATTAGGAAAACAATCCATTCCTTTAAAAAAAATTTAAAATATCAATAGGTCTTATTATTTCTTCATACAAGAAATTTCTTAGTAACTTTAACTCAACGCACAGTTCTCTTCCATCAATATCAGATTGATCATTATATTTTAATATTTGTTTTAAATGACTACAACAAGGGTCTAAAGTTGCATCGTCCAATAATTGTAACTTATGAGAAGTAAACAAGAAGGCAATAAAACTTTCATATTGTTGGTACTTCTCAAATCTCTTTTTAAGAGATACAATGGTTTGATCAACAAGATAACAAAAATAATTAACTCTAAAAGATTCCACTTCAGACAACTCAACTGATGAGGTACTCAAATTCTTATCAAAGTGTCTTTTTCTTTGAATTAAAAGCCTAAGAGGAAATATTGGATCGATATTCAATTCAATAGAAATTTTTCTAGCATAATTCAAGGCCTTATCAAAACCACTTTCTCTATAACTCTCAAAATATGAAATCGGCCCAGTTATTTTTTCCATGGCAACATCAATAAGCATATGCTTTGACGGTAAAGTATTCTCTAATTAAATAGTAAATATCAACTATAACATCAAAAACAGTCATCCACGTACATAACATAAAAAATAGTTATATTTTAATCAATAATATCAAAATACAATTTCAAATAAATATTATCATTAACATTTTGTCTACTTAAAAAGCGTCATTCTTCGAACACTTTGTGATGCAAATTCATCAACCAAGTCTTCATATTGTATCGTCTCTAAGATATCATTCTCAATTGCTATCAGTGCTAAGCCATTAAGTCTTTCTTGTAATATGGTAGACCGCAAATATGACTTCAACTACTTTAATTTTAAAAAACTTCTTTCGGCAGAAGCAATTGTTACAAGAATAGTCAATAAAATTCGATATACAATAATTGTATTAGGAAAACAAACAATTCCTTTCAAAAAAATTAGTATATCAATAGGTCCTATTATTTCTTCGGACAATAAATTTCTTAGTAACTTTAACTCAACGCATGGTTCTCTTCCATCAATATCAAATTGATTATATTATATTTTAATATTTGTTCTAAATGACTACAACTAGACTCCAAAGTTACATCGTCCAATAATTATAACGTAAGAGAAGTAAACAAGAAGCCAAAAAATACTTTTGATAATATCTTTCAAACTAATACTAGAAGTTATAGCATGTCAAAAAAATATTAACAATTAAATTATATTGCCTACAAAAATATAAACAATAAAATCACTTTTGATAATATCCTTCAAACTTTTTTGAAACAAACTCAATTACCAAGTTCTCAAATTGTACTATCTCTAAAATATCATTCATATATGATATTAATGTTAAAATATCATTTTCTAAAATAGAACAATTAATAATGAAAAATCACTAAAACTTGTACTAATAATAATAATAATAATAATAATAATAATAATAATAATAATAATAATAATAATAATAATAATAATAATAATAATAATAATGAAACACTACTTTTAATAATAAAATTTGTACAACAAACAAAAATAAAAAATAAAATTGCAAAACTTGTAATTTGGCAAATGCAGCTTAGGCTCTGTTTGGCGAGACATTTTTTAAGCTTAGAGCTTATAAGTTCATACGATAATAAAAGACCCGTTTAATATATAATAGTCTTTTCATTACAGACTTATTTTATTAATTTATAGTTTATTTTTCATACACTATTTTAAATAACGTTTAGTTTATAGCTTATAGTTTATCATTTTTTTCTTTCAATTTTATCTTATTATTTTAACTATAATACACCACTATCTTTCATAATTTAAGGCCCCGATGTTTTAAGGTCATGTGCGGTAGGCCAGATTGCACAAACCTAAATCCGACCCTATATGATGTCAAAATGAAAGTGGTGAGAATGCATGAGAAAGAAGAATTGAATGATATTAAGAATTTGAATGATATTATTTATGCTGCAAATTTCGCCACCGTATATTTCACCAAATTTATATGATACATGTGATTACATTTTTATTTTTAAAATATTGATATGAGTTACCAATTAAATAATTTTATTAAATGTGTGTATAATATTGAATTAGGGCAGTGCCTTTAAACTCTATTTGTAAAAGGAAAAATCCATAATTATCATAAAATAAAATAAACATAATAAATACAAGAGGAACAAACATCGAAAGTAGTTCTTATTTATTAAAATAAAACACAAGAGCAAACACACAAATAAACAAAAAAATAACATGATCACCATAACGAGGAATTTGGTTACTCCTCATATTTTATCCAGAACAACAACACACCAAATCATATCAATGTCTTTAGATGGAGATACTATTAGGAATGCCTCTGCAAGTCAATCCTTCCTCACTAGAAGGATAAAGCAAAGTGTAAGGCATCTTCACAGGTCCATAGCGATTCCTCAACGACTCGTCATTGTTCCTTCCAACAAGCTTTTTCTCAATTTCAGACAACTTCCTTCCAAACCTCTTGAATGCCTCTAATGGTACTGAATCAGAAGTCCAAAGTTCACCTTCATTTCTCTGTCCAAGGTACTGCTCATCAGAAGCATGCCTTGACAAGACCTCTAAGATTGTTAGGTCAGTAAGGGCATCCTTTTTTGGTGTGATTGTTTTCAAATAAGCCTTCTGAAAGTTCTTAGAAAGCTCATCATACTCCGGTGATCCTTTCTCAGGCATGAATCTTCTACTTTTAGTTGGTCGGTTAAGGATGTATCCTCCATACGGATATTGTCCAAAATTAACAGCTGCATGAAGTGCTGAAGCAATCCATATGAGAATGGTGCAAGCTTCAATCAACTCTGCACGAGTTTGCATCTTAAACCACCATGTTGCATTCTTCAAATCACCATGGCCCACTTCTACAAGTTCTTTCCAGAATGCCTGGAGTTCAGAATCTTGAGAAACATCAGTATCTGACTTGTAGTAGAAGTTCACATATTCTTCAACCCATAACTTAATAGCAGCCCATATATCTAGCCCATCAACAGCATAAGGATAGTCCTCTATCAGAAGACGAACACCGTGCGGTGAAGTTGGATCTTCAACAGCCACTCCCCTAGATAACAAGCAAAATATCATGATCAATAACATAAAAAATACTTTTAAGATCATGATCGCGGTAACTTAATTGCAAATGTTTTGATATAATATTTTGTAGGGTTACCTTTTGAGTAGATCATGAGGCAATCCTTGCTCAGTGAAAACCCAATCTTTGTATACAAAAGAAGACATTTCCACAGAACATGCTCCACCCAAGAATGTTGATTCTATAATACCCTCCGCATTAACTAGAACATTTCTAGCAAGTGCATTGATGTTCATTGTGTCGCGGTAATGAGGAAGTAAAAGTTTATGAATAGGGTGAACCACACTAAGATGTCTATTTGTTGCTATGATGAATGGCTCAACAACAGCATGAGTGTTCAACCTGTCAAACATGTAGGTATTCATACAATTAACCATAGATAGATAAATTATATGTGATATTTTAAATATCATTAATGAAAATAATACCAATGGCTACAAAGTTGGTGATGCGTGGCGTCATTTACAACAACGAAAGCCTTGGCAAGGAACCAAATTGAAGCTTCAACACCTTCACTTACAGGCAAGTAAACTTTACTGACAGGACCGAAACTATCAGCTTGAGGATGTGGCTTACTTAGTTCAATGGCCAATGGCTTCAAAGTTCCATCATTTTGCAAGAGAATGATGGTTCTAGTAGCATATGTCTTCGTATCAGTTGCGTTTATTTTCCTTAAAAATGGATATATTGTGTCGTGGTGATCAAGTATGTAAAGTTTTTTGTTTTGGATAGCCTGTTCAACAAAATATTATTTGAATAAAAATCAACCACTCTTACAAAATAGAAACAAAAAAATTATTTATTCTTAGTACTAATTTAAAATCATGTCATTACTTGTTCTACAGTGACTCCGCCCATGTTTGGCTCCAAGTGTTCTTTGGTTATAGTGCTTGTATTATCACCATAGAGTTGCCTATCTAGCTTGCTTTTTGGTGGAAACTCCTGTGTTAAATGTAACAAGCAAAAATGAGGTTTAAGTGATGAAAATATGTATTTTGTGTTTTCATAGAAGCTGTTAAGCTATTCAGTTTACTTGAAGCCTTTTGATGATGTGTGGATTCACACCAGCAATCATCTCCCTTGCAAATTCTTCATCTGTCATCCATGCAGATTGATTCACTGCTCAAAATAAGAGTGTTATAAAAATCAGTAATATTTCTTTCATATTCTCTCACGTCTTTTTTACAACAAAAAATAAAACAATTCATATGTTGGATTACTTATCAGATCCATAAATTTAAAAAATGAATTGTCTCTTGTAAAAATAACCGGAGAGTATATATATAGTATGAAAATATATTGTTGGACTAAAAGTGTGTTGCTATTAGATACCTTGAATCACTTTAGGTGGTGGAAACTTAAGGGCTTGTTCACCATCATTTCGAAAAATTTCCTTGAAAAGTGGTATTGGACTAATCTTGCTTAGTACATCAGTAGGAAGCTTAATTCCACCATCGTAAAGGGAGCGCACTTCTTCAAATGTGTTAAACTCAGAGTTATTGAGTTGTAATGTAACTACAGATCTCAATTGCGGTATGATATTTTGAGATGCTGATTTGAGTATGTAAACAAGAAAATCTGAAGACTTCAAATGACCAAATGATTCGTCTCTTGGAATGTAAAAGAAGTCGCCCCGACTCTCACTTTTCGGATCTACTCACATATAAAAAAAAACATTAGAATCATAAACATATTTTAGCAGCATATCATTTCTTTTATTCGTTAAGATGGAACCAAAAAATGTATTACCTTTCTTAGATGGATTTCTACCAGTTCTCCCCCTTCTAGGGTAAGGCATGTTGCTAGATCCTCCGACAACGGGACGAGCCAGGCTAGCTTTCCTGTCAGGATTACCCAAATCATTGTATACATCGTAATCGTAGATCCTTTCTGATTCAACACGCTCTCCTCTTCCATCTCCTCTTAAATTCTTTAGTTCTTCTTGTCTATAGTACACTAATGGAGCTGGTGTTTTACTTGGAAGATATGTCTATATATTATATTCATTGGAAGGTGTCAAAATTTGAAAAATATAATTTACATTTAACATGTTGTGATATATTATTTTTGTTACCTTGTTGGCAAAGAAGATGCGTTTAGTATTATATTTTGTATGTTTGTAAACCCATGAGTTGCAAACAAAGTGGATGGTTCCATGATTGGGAATATCTTCTAGTGTCAAACTTACAAGAAAGAATTCTCCTTGCATTTTGTTTTCAACATAAAATGCTCCTGGAATTCCCATCTCACTATCCCAATCAAAATGAATATCAAATGCAGACTGCCCTGCTCCCAATATTGGTATGGAAGTAACGAGACCTTCTAGATATGTTTTCTCCCCCACTTTTCCTTTTCCACTTCCTACAAATATCTCACAAATCACTATAATGTAACAAGAAATAGAAAATGAATAGATAGTATGACAAGTTATTACCATCTGTAGAAGTAGCACTAATCAAGCTGAAAGCCACAGAACGGCCCCAATGTGCAGTGTAAGTGTCAATTAAAGCGTTAGTAACACCAGCAGCGGCGTTGACTCCACCTATGAATAAACCACGTGCGCTTGTAGCAGAAGTAAGAACGTTAATGTCCAAGACATTCTTTTGCATCAAAAGAACTGTTCCCTTCACCTTTTGTCCTCTATTAATCCAACTTTTCACTTCTGAAAACATCTTTGATGCTCACACTTATTTCTCAATTTATTTTCAAAGAACAGTTTGTGGTTTGCAAGCTTCAACCATCTCACTATTTATAGGGCAAAATCTTGTCATCCAAAAATGTTTTTCTGTTTGAAACCATTAATTAATAACTAACACATCATATAAATATTATTTTGGATTAGGCTTACACTTATCGTGGTATATAAATTATGCCCTAAGTCAACAGAAATAATATGTGCCAGCTTTGTGTAATGAGAAATGGATCCCTTGAGCTATTTTAAATTGGATTTTTACGCGTAAACTAAAAAAGAAATATTCTTTATTAAGTCGTCTTTTTTGTTTTGTTTAAGGTCGTACCATTTAATTTATTTTTTCATTTTATTTTAATTTATTACAAGTTAGATAGTATCTCTGTTGAGATATTGAATATGACGGACACATCTTAGAGATTTTTTTTAATTTTATGAACAACACATCTTGTGAGAGACACACTAAATACTCATGTAAAATGTTAAGCTTATAGGTGTGTGAATTCTCTCATTTATAAAACGTTAAGATTATAGACGTTGCCTGGTTCTGTGCCGGGGTCGGAAAACAAGTCGGGAGCTGGCGACGACTTCGTCGTTACCCTCCCGACATACCCGATCGTGAAAATCAAATTGAGGGTATCAGATTGAAAAAAATCAAAGTTCAAATCATTAAAAATTGCTGTTTTATTTGTTGGTTTTGTTTTACAGGTTCGGAGCAAAAATCAAAAACCGAAAAATCGGCGTGAAGACAAAATTTAGAACAATTCAGAATAAATAATTTATTTGTAATTGTATATCTTTTTGTACTATTGTAATAAAAAATAATAATGAATAAATTCACATTATTTTTCCATTACATTTCTAGATTACAATTTCCGATTTCAAGCTCCGATTAAATTCCTCTGATAAAACTTAAACACATAAACTCCTTGAATTAAAATTTACCCGACTAAATTTATTGGATTAATTTACCAAACAATCCATCAGATTAAGCTCAAACAAATGAATCCAAATAATTGAATTTACCTCAGCAACTAAATTCGTCCCACTCAGTTCATCTGTTTAAATCCACACAAATAAATTCATCTGATTCCAACTAGTCCGATTAAATTCAAATGACTACTTCCGATTAAATTTATCCAATGAATTTTATCCGATTAAGCTGTGTCGTTCCAACCCCGAATTTGACCATTAAACCCCCCTTGTACGATTTAAACCTGACAGATAAGCAGAGAAACTCAGTTAAACGGCAAAACGAAACTGTCTTCCATATTTAAAATTCAAACCGCACCTCGACTACTTTAACCTGGTTACGTAATTCAGCTCAACCAACAATCATGGTCAAAATAACAGATATTCATTATAAATTCAATGCGCACCGAAATTCCACTGTTCCTTTAAAACCGACCGTTGACCAGCAGAAAGCAGGATAACGTGCGTCTGTTAAAATAAATTCCTCAAAGCACATTCTCGCACCGATTTAACCTGATCCCACTTATATTGCAACACAGTCAGCTCCATATGGTTTAGGAATCAACAACATTTCTGAAAACCAACTGATGACTGAAACTCGACTCTTTAATAAGATGTACTGTGTCACGAGAAATCTGACGTCAAAACTACCGTAGAATTCAGCTCATCATCAAATAAATCACAGGACTCGGAGATGGAAACCCTAATCACTTGAGGAACCTCTGATGATGACTCAGCTTCATGAATTGTCGATAGACGGCCAGGTAATGACCATTTTGCCCTTTACCACTTGAACTGCGCACAGTGTGATTTTTTCTGCAAAACCAACGGACTGAGAAAACTGGTTAGCGGTTAGTTACAATGCAATGCAAAATGAGATGAAATGCAAAATGAAACGATCAATCTAAAGGGTAAAATTTGGGGTATTACAGTTGCCCCTATTTAAATAGATTCACCGGATGATTTGAGTGACAGAGACTCAAGGAATCACAGTGAAAGGGATTTAAATACAGATGACCGAAAATTTTGCCCGCAGATGCAATGATATGCAATGCTGTGGACAAAACAGAAACGAAATAAAATGGACAATGCCATGAATCTATTATGATGCGTATGATAGAAATTGATAAATGTAAGGATGTAGTCAACATGAAGACACAAGGAACAGACGTGACGAACAACACACACTGGGGAGTTCTAAAGTGACGACCAACTAGACGGCCTCCATTGATTGTCAAAATTTTTATTCTGTTTCAACATATGTCAAAAATTTCTTAAACATAGAAATCACTTCAGATTTATAACGAAGAAAATATATCCAAGTAAAAAGACTATAATCATAAATGAATGTGACAAAATATTTATTGTGAGCATGAGAAACTACAGGAGAGATTCCCTATACATCACTAAGAATCATCTCAAAACAAGTGGAAGCACGATGAGCACCAGACAAAAAAGGACATGATATTCTTTTAGCCAATTTGAAAATAGAACACAAAACAGAGGCATCAAAAAGAACATTTTTATTACCCAATAAACCAATTTTACATAAATGAGACAAAACAGAAGAGTTTGGATGACCCAATTTTCCATGTCAATTCTCATAAGAATTCAAAATGTTATTACAAGCCAAAGATAAATGATTAGAAATAAACTCGAGTGGAAACAATCTTCCTACTTTAGGTCCCTTCACGATCACCTTTCTCGAACCTGCTCCTGCACAAGACAACCAGCACGAGAAAAATTAACATTATAATTTTTACCCACCAATTGGCCAACATACAATAAATTAGAAGGAAGACCAAGTGATACAAGTACATCCTGAAAATCAGAGTTTATGTCACCAACATCAGAGATAGATAGGTTATTACCATTGGCAATTTGAATTTGCTGATTACCATGGTAAGACCGTAAATTGTGCAAGTTTTCAAAGGACCCTGTCATGTGATTGGATACGCCAAAATCAAGAAACCATGGATGTAAAACATTAGAAGACTTGCCCTGAATTCCCAAAATTGAAAGCACTACTACGGAAAGTAATATGATAACTGTTGGAAAAGGGACATCACAACGTCTAACCATCTGTTGTGAGGTAAGGGGTGATTGTATGTGATCTGACCTGATCAGAAGGGGATCACTGGATGGCCACGCTCCGTTGGACTGCTTCCTGTTCACCGGTGGGGAGGATGAGGAGGGGGTGTACCTGTAAGGCACTCCGATGCCAAAGTGAGAAAATGGGCAGAGTGACAACAAAGTACAGAAATTGGGTAGCAGAATGGAATACCTGGCCCTCTTGGGGAAGAGGGTATTTATAGAGAGACCCCAGCGCTGGGCCAACGGTCATTTGAGATGGGCTGGATGACCAGGCCCAACCCTAATGACTGCTAGGGCTTACGTGACGTAGTGAAGACCAGGACGTGGTCTTTGCCCTAGTCCAACTGCTCCTAGATCTCCGGAAAGTGGGTTTGACCTGCTCTTTCGGAGGTGGGCAGTTGGTTGATGACGTGTCCCCGCGGAGGGGAGCACACGGAGAACGTGTGGAAGGCACATTGTGCTGCCCGGCGGGATGGGCACAGGTTCTGCCCACGGGATGGGCACCTGCCCGACGGGAGGAGGTTCTGCCCTGACGGGATGGGCACAGGTTCTGCCCGACAGGATGGGCACAGGTTCTGCCCACGGGATGGGCACCTGCCCGACGGGAGGAGGTTCTGCCCTGACGGGATGGGCACAGGTTCTGCCCGACAGGATGGGTACAGGTTCTGCCCACGAGATGGGCACCTGCCCGACGGGAGGAGGTTCTGCCCTGACGGGATGGGCACAGGTTCTGCCCGACAGGATGGGCACAGGTTCTGCCCACGGGATGGGCACCTGCCCGACGTGAGGAGGTTCTGTCCTGACGGGATGGGCACAAGTTCTGCCCGACAGGATGGGCACAGGTTCTGCCCACGGGATGGGCACCTGCCCGACGTGAGGAGGTTCTGTCCTGACGGGATGGGCACAGGTTCTACCCGATAGGATGGGCACAGGTTCTGCCCACGGGATGGGCACCTGCCCGACGGGAGGAGGTTCTGCCCATGGGTCCCTGCTCATCAGTGTGGTCCAATTAGGCCCAACCTCAGTGGGATTTCAGGCCTTCTCGATTGTGGGCTAAACCTCGGCCCAGTTCAGAACAGGAGCCCCCCAAGTCGTAGTTCGTTGTCAGGAGAGCTATGACTTAAGTAGAGAATAGCGTTGCGCGCGCTGATATGTCAGGCAGGATGCGAGAATGGCGTCGATCGTATCGATCATCTGGGAAGGGCGAAATTGCAGTCGTTCGACATCCAAAAAATTTTGCTCGACACCTTCGATCGTTTCTGCTCGACATCCGGGGTCGTGCCCGTTTATTATAACGTTTTGGCTTCTGGGCTTGTGCCCCTTTTATGGAATTCTTGTTTTCCTTTCTAAGTTTTGTGTGCGTGCATGATTGTTATGCTTTTTCGCTAAGTGTTGGCTCGTTTTGCCGAGCTCCATTATGATGTGAATGTTTATTGTTTTGTGGGGGACCTTTGCTCGGTGCGTGTTGCCCGGTAGTGCGGGGAACTATCCGGATGCCCGGGGTAGCTTCCTGGGCGGACAAGAGTTAGGTCACGGTTGTGATCTATCCTGTAGGCTTGAACATCCCATCGCGAGCTGGGCGTTCGGCCGATTATGATACTGCGGCGGCGACTCTCGATCGAGGGGGTGCCGTCGAGCGGGCTATTCTCTTTTTGTTCGGGGAGGTATAGTGCCCGCTAAGGTAAGGTCGGTGAGGTGTGGCCGTATCAGTCCACCCTCTTGTTCGCGCGGGTTGTCCCTCGCGGGCAGTGTTGTTTAACTGTAGTATTTTTTAGCTTTTCAGCGTTCCATGGTCGAGCTATATGGTCCCGTGTAAGTTTTCGAGGTAGTAGGTTTTCGAAGGGAGGACAAGGCTGGATGGAAGCCAGGGTCCTGCCCGACAGAGTCTTCTGCTTGACAGAAGGAGGACAAAGACTG